ACACACACAGTGTGACCCCAGGCCTGTAACCAGAATTACTGCATCCAATCATCATATATATATATATATATATATATATATATATATATATATATATATATATATATATATATATATATATATATATATATATATACACACACACACACACAGTGTGACCCCAGGCCTGCAACCAGAATTAATAATAATAATAATAATAATAATAATAAATATATACACAGTGTGACCCCAGGCCTGCAACCAGAATTAATAATAATAAATATATACACAGTGTGACCCCAGGCCTGCAACCAGAATTAATAATAATAATAATAAATATATACACAGTGTGACCCCAGGCCTGTAACCAGAACTACTGCATTCACTGCATCCAATCATAATAATAATACTATATATACACAGTGTGACCCCAGGCCTGTAACCAGAATTAATAATAATAATAATATATACACAGTGTGACCCCAGGCCTGTAACCAGAACTACTGCATCCAATCATAATACTATATACACACACACCCATAATAGTAAATACACTGCATTCATAATAACATTAAAATATATATATACACACACACGCACGCACACACACACCATCATTATATATACACACACTTTATTCATAATACTATATAGACTGTGTGACCCCCCACACTATAATGCATTCAATACTGAATATACATATACACTGCATTCAATACTATATATATATACACACACACACTGCATTCATAATGATATTACTATATGTACTGCATTCAATATATACACTGCATTCAATAATATTACAAAATATATATATACACTGCATTCAATACTATATATACACTGCATTCATAATATTACTATATATACAGACAGTGTGACCCCAGGCCTGTAACTAGAACTATTGCATCCTGCATTATATATATATATACACACACACACACCGATCCCAGGCCTGGACTAACTATAACTACTACATGTAAAACATCCTGCATCAATAATATTACTATATATACACAGTGTGATCCCAGGCCTGTAACTATAACTAAATATAAAACATTCAGCATTACTATATATACACACTGCATCCATCATTAACTATAACTACTGCATTAATATTACTACATATACGGCATCCATCATTAACTATAACTGCTACATGTACTGCATTATTACTATACACACACAGCATCCTTCATTAACTATAACTACTACATGTACTGTATTAATATTACTATATACAGTTGCAAGAAGTAGTATGTGAACCCTTTGGAATTATATGGATTTCTGCACAAATTGGTCATAAAATGTGCTCTGATGATCATCATCTAAGTCACAACAATAGACAATCACAGTCTGCTTAAACTAATAACACACAAAGAATGATGTTGCCATGTTTTTATTGACCGTTCCTCTTTACAGAACTGTTTCAGTTCAGCAATATTCTAGGGATGCCTGGTGTGAATCACTTTCTTGAGGTCATGCTACAGCATCTCAATCGGGTTGAGGTCAGGACTCTGACTGGGCCACTTCAGAAGGCGTATTTTCTTCTGTTTAAGCCAGTCTGTTTTACTTCTATGCTTTGGGTCATGGTCCTGTTGCAACACCCATCTTCTATTGAGCTTCAGCTGGTAGACAGATGGCCTTAAGTGCTCCTGCAAAATGTCTTGATAAACTTGGGAATTCACTTTTCCTTCGATGATAGCAATCTGTCCAGGCCCTGACGCAGCAAAGCAGCCCCAAACCATGATGCCCCCACCACCATACTTCACAGTTGGGATGAGGTTTTGATGTTGGTGTGCTGTGCCTTTTTTTCGCCACACATAGTGTTGTGTGTTTCTTCCAAACAACTCAACTTTGGTTTCATCTGTCCACAAAATATTTTGCCAGTACTGCTGTGGAACATCCAGGTGCTCTTTTGCAAACTGTAAACGTGCAGCCATGTTTTGTTTGGACAGCAGTGGCTTCCTCTGGTATCCTCCCATGAACTCCATTCTTGTTTAGTGTTTTACGTATTGTAGATTCGCTAACAGGGATGTTGGCATTTTGGCATTTGCCAGTGACTTTTGAAAGTCTTTAGCTGAGACTCTAGGATTCTTCTTCACCTCATTGAGCAGTCTGCGCTGTGCTCTTGCAGTCATCTTTACAGGACGGCCTCTCCTAGGGAGAGTAGCAGCAGTGCTGAACTTTCTCCATTTATAGACAATTTGTCTTACCGTGGACTGATGAACAGCAAGGCTTTTGGAGATACTTTTATAACCCATTCCAGCTTTATGCAAGTCACCAATTCTTAATGGTAGGTCTTCTGAGAGCTCTTTTGTGCGAGGCATCATTCACATCAGGCAATGCTTCTTGTGAAAAGCAAACCCAGAACTGGTGTGTGTTTTTTATAGGGCAGGGCAGCTGTAACCAACACCTCCAATCTCATCTCATTGATTGGACTCCAGTTGGCTGACATCTCACTCCAATTAGCTCTTGGAGATGTCATTAGTCTAGGGGTTCACATACTTTTTCCACCTGCACTGTGAATGTTTACATGGTGTGTTCAATAAAAACATGGCAACATTTCATTCTTTGTGTGTTATTAGTTTAAGCAGACTGTGATTGTCTATTGTTGTGACTTAGATGATGATCGGATCACATTTTATGACCAATTTGTGCAGAAATCCATATCATTCCAAAGGGTTCACATACTTTTTCTTGCAACTGTATACTGCATCCATTGTTAACTATAACTACTACATGTACTGTATTAATATTACTATATATACTGCATCCTTCATTAACTATAACTACTACAGCAGATCCTGCATTAATTATATTACTGTGTATATACTGCATCCATCATTAACTATAACTACTACATGTACTGTATTAATATTACTATATATACTGCATCCATCATTAACTATACTACATATAAAACATCCTACATTAAATATATATATATATATATATAGCATCCATCATTAAAGGAACACTATAGTCACCTAAATTACTTTAGCTAAATAAAGCAGTTTTAGTGTATAGATCATTCCCTTGCAATTTCACGGCTCAATTCACTGTCATTTAGGAGTTAATTCACTTTGTTTCTGTTTATGCAGCCCTAGCCATACCTCACAGATGTACTGTATTAATATTACTACATGTACTGCATCCATCATTGACTATAACTACTACAGCACATCCTGCATCACTTGTATTACTGTATATGCTGCATCTATCGTTAATTATACTACCCCATATAGCACATCCTGCATCAATATTACTAAATATTGCATCTATCATTAACTATACTACATGTAGCACATCCTGCATTAATATTACTATATGTTCTGCATCTATCATTAATTATACTACCCCATATAGAACATCCTGCATTAATATTACCATATATACTGCATCTATCATTAACCTTACTACCCCGTGTAGAACATCCTGCATTAATTATACCGCCCCGTATAGAACATCCTGCATTAATTATACCGCGCCGTATAGAACATCCTGCATTAATTATACCGTCACGTATAGAACATCCTGCATTAATTATACCGTCCCATATAGAACATCCTGCATTAATTATACTGTCACGTATAGAACATCCTGCATTATACCGCCCCGTATAGAACATCCTGCATTAATTATACCGTCCCATATAGAACATCCTGCATTAATTATACTGTCACGTATAGAACATCCTGCATTAATTATACCGCCCCGTATAGAACATCCTGCATTAGTTATACCGCCCCGTATAGAACATCCTGCATTAATTATACCGCCCCGTATAGAACATCCTTTAATTACAAGATAGGAAGCAATACAGCCATATTTACTAAATCAGTTTGTGACTGATTTATTTAGATTTTAGTCCAAAATATTTACATTGAAAACATTGCAGATTTAAACTTCCCTTCTCCCATATTCCACTATTTTGACCTAAAACGTGAAATCTACTTTATATTTCCTGCAATTCCCACGTAACTGAAAAACTATTTTTTTTGTATTTCTTTATATCACCTGCAATGTTTAGGTGGTGCACCCCTGTCGTTATGTAGATTTCAAAGTAAGGATGAACATACAGCTATACATTATTGTAAGCCATAATGACTGTTGTGACTATTTCAATTCTCATCCATGCCCAAAAGCCTAGATGTATTACATGTACTGATATCAATTTCCAATGATGGGCAAATATTGACTTTTATAGTTATTTTTCAAATCGAATTATATTTTGTCATGTTTTTGGTGGTTTGCTATTTTGGTGTATATCCTATCTATTTTTTCATATCATTACTTTGTATTTGGATATATATAATGTTTTTAAATAGTAATTTTATTTGTTAAAGGTATATTGCATTTGTAATATTACCGCCATGTTTATATGACAAGCCATTGTACTGTGATTTTTATGAATAAATTAAATGTTGAATGGTAATCGATTCACAACAGACATAGCTTACTGGTTGCTGTGATTTAAAAGGGCACCCATGCAGGAAAATGGTGTTAATTTTAAGTGCATGTAAAATATATAGCTATATTGCAAATATCCCTTAAATATTCATATATTTTAAAAAAGTTAAAACTGTTCATTTTTGTAATAATTGTAAGATTTTCATTTATGACATAATTTGTCATTAAGAGGTAAACACAATGTTTTCCAACATACGAGAATATAAAGTACAAAGGTGTTGAATTATATATTTCCTATATATATTGAACATTCTGGATTCTTTCTTTAAAATCGGTAAAATGTTGCCTGTTTTTGTTTTGTTTTGTTTGTTTGTTTTAAACAGGCAAACATAAGTGCCTTTCTTGTGCTAACTTTGGTTCGCCAGAGCTGAGTTTTGGGCATTTTAGCTGTTGATGAGCCTCTGGCTTGTAATTGCATTCACAGGAGAGAAATTAAAATTGCTTAAGTCCGGAACAATGTTAGATAGGCTGCTAGATTCTCACATTTGTTAAGAATAGTATGATCTGATTTTATTCCTTTAGGCTAAATCCTCCAATTTGCAGTAATGGCAGAAGACAGCCAGGATTCTAAACCAACTGAGCAAGATGTGGACAAGGAATCAAAAAAGAACTCAAACGGAACACCAGATGCTGCTGTGCCGGAGCAACACCAAGAAAACTGTACATCTAATGATCCACAGGAAAGCCATGCATCCGAAGAAAATACATGTAATCCTGAGAAGCTTTGCCCAGGGCAGATGATCATCTTGGTAATTTTGATGTACTCTTTGCTTGGAATTCAATCATTCATTACCTGTGTTCAGATCCCATAGTTTTGAGTTCCTCTAGTAGCAATTACAGTGCTGTACAAGCACGTTTCACTATAGTATGTCATCATTAAAGGGACACTATAGGCACCCAGACCACTTCAGCTCATTGAAATGGTTTGGGTGCTGTGTCCCTATTGCACTTTGTGCAATGTAAAACATTTCAGTTCCAGAAAAACTGCAATGTTTACATTGCAGCACTAAGTCTGCCTTCAAAGTCGGTCTAACAGACAGCCACGAGGCAGCTTTTTTTTGGATCGAAATGGACATTTGGTCCGGTATCTGACGCTGGATGTCCTCATGCTCTGCATGAGGAAATCCAGTGTAAAATTTTCCCCAAAGGATATCATTGTTTAAAAGCTTTTCTATAGGAAGGTTTAATGTGCGCGTGGCACATGCATTAGTGCCCGCTTGTCGCTGGATTTCAGAGGGGGGCGGAGCGTTTTTAATACTTTATTTACCGGGTGGTGGGAGGAGGGGGGAGGCAGGAGGAGTGATAGTGCCAGGAATACAGCTTTGTATTCCTGACACTATAGTATCCCTTTAATATGACAAGGTACAGCATAAAATAACATCCCTTTAATAAATGGCACAGCTACAGGGGGATTCTACTGGATGTGACTATCGTCTAGGAAGTCATTTCTGTCCGTACTCCCACCTCTGATGCTCGCCTTCAGGATTTCTCGAGGGCTGCACCGTTCCTGTGGAACTTGCTTCCCTCCTGCGTTAGCTGCTCACCCAGTCTCCACTCCTTCAAAAAATCGTTAAAAACCCACTTCTTCATAAAAGCGTATCAATTAAACTGTTAATAGCTCCTGGCTGATTCCTCTTCTGCAACTGTCACTAGTCTAATACTATCCTTACATTTTTGTGTCATTTTACTCCACTCCCTCTAGCATGTAAGCTCATTGAGCAGGGCCCTCAACCCCTCTGTTCCTGTGTGTCCAACATGTCTGTTCGTCCACCCATTGTAAAGCCCTGCGGAATTTGACGGTGCTCTATAAATATCATTATAATAATAATTCACAATGTTTAGAATAGGGATCGACCGATTATCGGTCTGGCCGATATTATCGGCCGATATTTGGTATTTTCGGCAATATCGTATCGGCCAATTCAGATACCGATATTGCCGATAATATATAACAGGAGCGCCGGGCCCATTACAAGCCCGGCGGTCCTGTGGGGGCCAGCAGCAAGCGCTGACTTACCTTGCATGCAGCTCCTACAGCTCTCTGTGTAAATCTCGCGAGACCCGCGGCCGCAGAGCGTTGCCACGGGTTACCATGGCAACGCTCCGCGCGGCACTAAGAGCCGCGAGATTTACATAGGGAGCTGTAGGAGCTGCTTGCAAGGTAAGTCAGCGCTTGCTGCTGCTGAGCCACCACTGTACTTAACAAGCCACTGGACCACCAGGGGATACTATATCCCCCTCCCTGGTAAGAAGCAGGGAGGGGGGACTAAACAAAAAATAAAAAAAAACATTTCAATATTAAAAAAAATATTAAAATAAAAAATTACACAAATTACATCACTACACACACACACACACACTGCACACATACTGCATTACATACACACTACACAAACACACACTGGGGGGGGACTAAACAAAAAAAAACATTTAAATATTAAAAAAAATATTAAAATAAAAAATTACACAAATTACATCACTACACACACACACTGCACACATACTGCATTACATACACACTACACAAACACACACTACACAAACACACACTGGGGGGAGACTAAACAAAAAAAAACATTTAAATATTATAAAAAATATTAAAATTAAAAATTACACAAATTACATCACTACACAAACACACACACACACTACACAAACACACACTGCATTACATACACACACTACACAGACAGACACTACACACACACCACAAACACACACTGCACACATACTGCATTACAGACACACTACACTGCACACACACTGCATTACATACACACACTGCATTACATACACACTACACAAACACAGTACACATACTGCATTACATACACACACACTACACAGGCACACTGCATTACATACACACTACACAAACACACACTACACAAACACACACTGCACACATACTGCATTACAGACACACACTGCACACACTACACTGCATTACATACACACACTGCATTACAAACACAGTACACATACTGCATTACATACACACTACACAGACACACACACTGCATTACATACACACTACATTACATACATACACACTACACAAACACACACACACTGCATTACATACACACAAAAACACACTGCATTATACACACACACTACATAAACACACTGCATTATATACACAGTACACACACTGCATTATATACACACACTCTGCATCCACTACACACACACACACACTACACAAACACACAGTTCCCCTGTCTAAACACACTTCATCCACTACATGTGGCATGTATATTTTGTGCATTTACCTTTCGAATTAGTTTATTTATTCAAAATAGTAAATGTACAGAATATCGGCAAGATATCGGCTATCGGCCTGAAAGTTCGCAGATTATCGGTATCGGTATCGGCTCTAAAAAATCAATATCGGTCGATCCCTAGTTTAGAATACAGATCAAATTTATGTTCAGTCCATACCGGACATATATTTAGATTTTTTTTTTCTGTCTAGACATATTTAATATTCTATTATTGGTTAATCTTTGGTGCAGAGGATGAGCGTTAAGACTACCCTAACCAATATTTTACTAAACAAATAATCCCTTCTTAATGTTTGTGTTTTGATAGTCTGTCTGGAATCTGATTTGTATCTGTGTAAGATTCTTAAAGGGAAACTATAGTGCTATGAATACTAAGTTGTATCCCTATCTCTATAGTACTCTCCGTCCCTTGCGCCCCCAGCACTGAAAGGGTGCCTTTTGTCACCTTATTCCAGTGCTGATGTCCTGCGCGAAATTAGGCTTCGTCTCCGCTCCTCCTATGGGAGAGATCTAATGCACAAGCATTACATCACATGATCACATTAGGACTTCCCCATAGGAAAGTATTGAATCAGTGCTTTCCTATCAGGTTTTATCTGATGCTGGATGTCCTCATGCAAAGAATGAGGACGTCCAGCATCATTTAGCGGACCAAAAGGAGGATGCTTAACATAGGTTAGTTTTTCTAAATGAGACAGTCTGTCATTGAAAAGTACTTCTTCTTTCAGAAAGCTCTGCAGCAAGTTGTTGGCACCACCTTACAGAGTGAAAGCAAGACTGAATGTCGTAGAACCATAGGTAAGAGGTCTTATTTGAACATCTGGGGATTTACTCACTAAACTCGGTAATGTCGAAAATCGATAGTTTCACCAGTCTCTGTTAGTCTCCCATCACCACTCTCTGTTGGTCTCCCATCACCACTCTCTGTTGGTCTCCCATCACCACTCTCTGTTGGTCTCCCATCACCACTCTCTGTTGGTCTCCCATCACCACTCTCTGTTGGTCTCTTATTTTTTTTCCACAAAAACGGATGGGTTTATTGAACCTGTATATTTTGTTATGTTGAAATGGTAAAACTTTGTAGATGTTAAAAGGGTGGCATTATTCCTGTTTTTTTTATTTATTTTATTTAAATAATACATTTACTTTCATAAATGCATTTTTAATTAAATTTTTTACAAGGACAGTTTTTTTTAGTAAGTTAACTTCTTTATATCCTCTGTGTTTTGAAGGAGGGAGTTTGGAGGGGGGGTTGCAAAACCTTTAATATGTCTAATGTAATATATTCCTTTATTTCCCACACATTTTGTCTTCTGGTAAAATGTGATTGCAGTGGTTTGAATACATGATGATGATGATGATTATGTTCACTAATTTCTGGTATGTGTAATATTTGTTCTATCAGAACCGAAACAGAAAACTTCAAAGCTTAAAAAGTCTTGTAAGAAGAGAGCATTAAGGAAACCTGATGGCTCTGGAGAGTCTAAGATGCCCAGTGTGGAAAATGAAATCCCTGTAAGTATATTTAATTTCAATTTTTTTTTTTTTTTTTTTTTTTTACAATTTTGAGTACACATCATCCAAAAATAAAAATCAGAAGCATGTAAAGAATGAAGAGAGAATTTCAATGTATGCAATAGAAGCCAAGGAGTAAATTACATGTATGTTTTAAGATCTGTCATGCTATCCTGTACAGAGCACATTTGTGGTTTAGTATACAGTCTGTCCCCTGACCAATTACTCTAGCTTTGAAGTGGCAGCATGGCAGTTTCATTTCTTTCTTTTTTCTTCTTCAATAAAATGTGAAATAAAATAAATATATGTTAAATGTCATATTCATTTTGGCTATCTTTTGGCACTCTGGAAGTTGTTGGTTAGCTGTTTGTTCTACAGTCAAGGTCCATATATTGCTGTTTTTCAGTTCCCACAACTATTTAGTTCATCCTGGTAGGGTTCTACAACAGGTGGTGGTTTGCCTTCTTGTCCGCCTCTTCTGAAGACCTACAACTGTAGAGCTAATTGGACAGTCCTGGTTTGATATATTCCTTTATCTGTGTTGTAACTGTGTGGTCTGTTTACAGATCCCAGAAGTGACAGGAAGTCTTTTATCCAGCCTTGACAGTGCATTGATGTATTTGGAAAATAACTACAATACCATCAATTCAGAATCTCGTCATGGCTCAGACACCGTAGACGCCCTCGACTTCGGAGATCTGCAGTAAGTTTGAGAATAGGTTTGCTTTTCTTTCTTTTTATACCGGAAACATATATTTATTCAGTTAAATGAAGAGATATTTTTACACATATTATGTCTGTCACTACCCACCGCGCACACACTTGTCAGGGGAGTCCATATATAAATAATCTTCATTCTTTATCTACCTATGCTACTTAATATAACAAATAATGTAGATGAAGCTATTACTTATCCTGCAGTAGAAGAATTTCAGTTGATGATTTTCTGTTTATTTTTTTTAAATATTTTTATTTTTTTACGGTGTAGTATGGAAGAAGAGATGGAGGAAGTGGAGCTGGTAGCTGAGATCCAGATCGGTGACTCTGCGTCTTATTCTAACAGTTATTCAGGAATCATGAGAAGAAATAGGCGTTGGATGAAATCAGGTACACAGTGAATTATTTGAAGATGTCACTTTTCCTGCTCTTCTTTTTGATTCAGTGTTTCTTTGTATCCATTTACGGCACCTGAGTTTTAATGCCATTTCCTGGTTCACTGTCATTGCTGTTGTGTACAGGTGGAATGTCATTGTACCTTCATGAATCTTATGCTTTCTTCTACACCTTGTATTGGCTTTAAATACCAAAGATTTATCTGTTTCTATCACATGTATTACCCCTTAGATGCCCTTCTCTTTTATTTTATTTTTTAAATTTCATTAGTAATGTTAATAATAAATTCTGATCTAGTCTACTATTGTTTCATTATGTCTTTGCTCCCGGATCAGATTATCTGTGTGCTCAGTGTTTTTTTGTTTGTTTTTTTTTTTTATTACAAAGGAAAACAGACTAAATGACATATCTACTAATAAAGTATTATGTATTTAAAGCAGTGGTAATGTGTTTTTATTTTTTATGGACAGACTTTTAAAGCTTTTGGAAATTACAAAGATTGTAAAACACAGAAAAAGGTGAAATAGCCAGAGTGATCAGAATTCACAAACATTTTAATAATAAAACTTTAAAAAGGTCTTACAGACCAAAAGAGTCCAAAGCAAATTATTTAATATCTCTAAATAAACTCTATCATAGCAGTGCTGTATTTAATCTTTTTTCAATGTTTGCCAATGCTTGTACTCATATCTAACATTTGATTTACAGTGGGCCTAAGTTCCTCGAGGTTGCAGCTTGCAAGCAGGAAGACTTCTTCTGTTCCCCCAAAATTCGGGACATCTATTGAACCTGTCATTTGTCCTTTGAACTTAAAACCATGTACTACAAGGACATTACACAGAACTAGAATAACAGAAAAGGGCTGTGCTGTACATAAGCCTCTTATTAAACGGTTAAGAACTACAGATAGAACTTCACTGCCAGAGTACCCACAAACCTACCCCCCATCAACAACTGTGTTACGTGGACTTCCTTGGATTGTCACAGATCCATCCAATGCCTTGTCTAAATCTAGAGTACAGGATCATTTTTGTTCTGGCCGGACTACACTGACACATGGCAGTGCGCAGACAATTGTTAGAAAAACACCTGATGCTCTAGTGACATGCGGACTGGCTCTAGGAAATGGCACTGATGTATCAAATGGACAACAAAGACCTCTTGGTGGAGAGGGGCCCACATCAAATAACCAGCATTCCCAACCTCCTAGTTCACTGGAAAAGGCAGATTCTAGCTCATCCTCTTCTTCATCATCCTCTTCCCATATGCCGGGGTTGTCTGCTAGTGGCAGTGGTGCCCAGTCAAACAGGTCCCAGGATCTAGATATTTACGACCCCTTTCACCCGACCGATGAAGAAAATGTAAATGGAGATTATTTATATTCCGACTCCCCTGAAAAAGAACCTGAGGATCAGGAAGATCAGAAATATGATCCATTTGATCCGACAGGTTCTAATCCTAGTTCTTCAGAGCACAGTCCATCCCCATATGAGGATGAGGAGGATGATGATGATGATGACGACGAAGATGATGGGAGTGAGATTCATCCCGAGGAACGAATCTCTGAAGCCTTGGCTGGTATTTATGATGAAAATAGTTTGAGCCAAGAATTTCCTACTTCTGAAAAATCAAAGGAAGGTTTTCAGTCTGTTGACATGGATAAATGCCAAGCATCAGATGATCAGGACAGCAAACCTGAAAATGATGCTAAGAAACCTGAACAGAGGCTTTCCATCGAAATGTCTGAATCTGCTGGAAATGATAATGCAAATCTGGCATTTGAACCATACAGTCCCAGCTCTAGTATAGATCTAGATAGGGTTGATGTTGAAGATATTTCCAGGGAAGTATCGGAAGAGAAAACTGCAAAAGAAACACTTGTTGCTGACTCAACACTGGACGAAGCAAATACATCAGAATTATCACTCGAGCCTAGAAGACGCGTCTTTACTGTGGATGTTGGTAAGGATTATGTAAGAAAAACAGAATTTGATTCTTCTGCAGATCCTAAATCCAAGCTGGAGATAAAGGTCTCTTTAGAGTCTATTGCAAAACCAGATATGAAATCCTATTTAAGGTTGGAAAAAATCGCCAAGCTTGGAGGAGAATCACGGTCACGTCACAAACAAAAACATTCTTCGGAAAAGAGAGACCGCGGTGATGATTCTGATGGAAAATATGATTCTGAAATTGAAGAAGGAGAGATTGTTCAGCCAGATGAGGATTGTTTTAGCCCAATGCCTTTGTTTCGTAGTAGGTGTCGTGTCCTAGACAGACCACTGAGGATGGTAGAAGGGGATGATTTTCTTTCTTTGCATGCAGATTCTGATGAGGAAGGAGCTTTACAAATTGACTTTGGAGAAAATCAAATGGATAACCGATGGAAAGGGCTTGATTTGAGAAGGAAAATTACAAACCAGCGCAGAGAAAGGTATCGGAAAAAATCTGAGTCTCCCGCAAAATCCAAAAGACGTTCTAAGTCACGTTCTCCTTCTAGTTCACATAGCCGAAAAAAAGCAAAGCGAGAACGGAAGAGGTCAAGAGAACGAAAGAGGTCAAAAGAGCCAAGAGCATCTACAGCTTCATGGTCCAATACAAAAAAATCGAAAGACCAGAAGGATCACAAGCGTTCTCGGTCACGTTCTCAGAACAAGGTTTCTCGTTCCCATTCTAGAGACCACAGAAGATCACGCTCATGGACACCTTCTATTAGTACCAGCATATCTGCTGTAGACTCTTCTCGTACCTCAGCTGAAAGGAGGAAAAGCCGTAGATCTAAATCAAAAGAGAAAAGGCGTCAGTGGTCTCGATCTGTTAGTACTGAACGGTCCCGAAAAGATAAACACAAAGAGAAACATAAAACAGATGGAAAGAAAAAGAAAAAAAGGTCCCGGTCTCGATCTAGAGAGAGAGATCGTAGGTCTTCACACCGTTCAAATGATAGGAGGGATAAAGACAAATCACGGACAAGACATCCTTTAGATGAACCAAAACATGATGATCCGCCATTATTGGAAAGGAGGAGGCGAGATAGTCGATCAGTAGTTCCTCCCTCAATACAGGACCTTAATAATGCTGATCTATTTACTATTAAAAGAACAATTACTGTGAATCCGGAGGAAAAACTGGAAGAGCGTGAGGACTTACTAAATACTCCTGAAGTATCAGGGAAAAGAGAGGTTCTGTATGATTCAGAAGGCTTAAGTTTCGAAACCTATTCTGACCGTGAAACCATTGATGACAGAGATGGTAAATGCAATAGAATATTTGAAAGGCACTCTGGGAAGACGGAAAGCAGCAAGAAAAGGATACCTGTTGAATTTGAAAAGAAACGGACAGAAGAGGAACGTGAGAGTCGTCAAAGATCCAGCAAGGATAGAGATAGAAAAAGATCATACGATGATAGTAGCCGTGACAGGTACAAAAAACGATTTAAAGAGGTGCCTGATCCAGAACCTGAGCCCTTAAAACTAGAGAGAGAAAAGATTCGTACAGAAAAGGATAAAACCTCCAAAAAGTTAAAAGTGAGCCATAAAGAAGGTAAAGGGAGTTCAGCCAGAAAAGTTAAATTGCAATCTAAAGTGGCTGTGCTGATTCGTGAAGGAGTGAGCAGTACCACCTCTGTTAAAGAAGCAGGGTCTATTGGTGTCAAATTTAGTCGGGATAGGGAGAGCAGGTCACCGTTCCTAAAATCTGAAGAAAAGATGCCAGATATTAAGACTATTCGACCTAAGCTGGAAATGTCTGATATAAAAGAACCTGTCATGAAGCCCAAAAAACTTAAAGGCTTAAAAACAAAAACTGGCATTAAAAAAGTGAAACCTGCTGGGGTCCTTGTGAAACCTAAAGGAACGCTTGAAAAGAAAAAGAAAAAAGTGAAGGTAAAGGCCTCCTTAAAGAAGTCTAAAGCAGATAGCTGCAGCAAGGAACTCCCTAGCCCTATCCAAGCCAAAGATGAACCAATATGGTCAGACACTGAGAAAAGTGAGAGCATTGTGAAACCCCCGAGCCCCCCCAAGCCATCCATCGAGCAGGAGCTCACCCCTGATTCACAGACTGTTGATAGTAGCTGCAAGACCCCTGATGTGTCATTTATTCCAGAAGAACCACCTCTGGAACCTGAGCAAAGTATTGACTTAGAGATGGACAACATGTCTGAGCCCAAGGAAGAAATTTCCCGTCCTCCTCCTCCACCCCCTCCTCCACCACCACCAATGTCTTGGAATCTCCAGTCTGGAGTGGACTGTACCACAAGTGGTGTTCTAGCATGTAAGTATCTGCAAACATGGTTTTGGTTCATAAAGGTTTGTGTGGCTCAATAAATTTGAGACTTTCTATTGATGGGAGGAAAATAAATACGTTGTGTTTTGTTATATTTCAGAGACATTCTTTTATGTTTGTAAGGGCAGCTTTAAGAATTTATTGAGGTTTCCATAGCTATAGGATCTGTTTTATTTTTTACCGTAATTACTGTAAAGATAAGTTGTTGTTTCTTTTCTTTTTTTTCTTTTTTTTACAATTTACAGTTTTCCAAGTTTAGAACTACTATTTCCATTTACCCATGCCCATGGAGGGCATTCATTGTATGCAGTGAAATCTAAGTAAGGAAATTGTATCTTGTAAAGGAGGGTGATCAGTTTTGAATTCCCCTTTTGTTAGATCCCAAGCAAACTATGTGAGTGGATGGGACACACAACTTGGACTCTCATAGCTCTGGATCTTTGATAGAACAAAGGCCTGGACATTCAAACTATATAGGGAAACAGCTTGAGATTCAGGAAAAGGGAATGTGATGGATTTGAAAAACAAATGTGTGGTTAAGCATGTCAAGAGTGACAGAAGAATTAAGACTAGTGAGGAGCGCTAATTACCATGTAGTTCGCCATGAATACTTCATTAGACAATTTAGTAAAGACCATTTCAGTTGAGTGAAGAGAGCGGAGAGTTTAAAAGAGTGTCTTGGTGGAAGTTGGGATTAAACCAGCTTTGTGGGTGTGTGTATTAGAGAGAACCTTGTGAAGAGCAGTTGGGCATATGAGACAGTAATTAGAAGGTGACATAGGATAAAAAGAGGGCTTTTTTGTTTATTGTGGAACTGACAGTTGCATGTTTGAGGAATCCCCCATAAGACTAATTTACAAATGAGTTCTATCAAACTTGCTGCTGAAACTTGGTTATTACCATAATCCATAATGATTTTATACTATATGGAGCCTTTCTGGCTGCAAGATTGAGGCTACTTTATATATAAAGAGAATATCAGGAGACCACACTGTAGGCTCAGTCACTGTATGCTTGCCTGTGACTTCTTAATAAGGGTTTTTTTTTGTACTCTAATAAAATTCTCTGTTGAAGAGAAATGCAATCAGCAGACGGATAAAGAATTAATTTACTAAAGATAGTCAATGTATCTAAAACCATTGTGTAATTATTGCATTGTGTTAGTGGAAAGTACAAAGTCCTACAGAGGTCAGGATAAAAAAAAGAGGCCAAAATGTAGGTACTGAGCATTAAACTACCTGTTTCCTTTACCGGGCTGCTCATATTTACCTAGCTCTATAATTTATTTGGATAAAACAAAACCCGCCGTTTCATTAATCAGTATTAAAATACATACCCTTAATTATAAGTATTGAAGGTTGTTGTGACCTTTCTATAAATGCTGGTCCTTCTGTTGAATGCAAATACAACACTGAAAGGCAAGACTTTACCTAGCTACTTAAAAATAAGCACACAACAAATTGTGTTTTTTTTCCTTCTTTGTGAAAGGTTTTCACAGTTTTGTCGAGGGGAAAAATTAAAAAAATGATCATATTAAGAAACCAAGTCATTTCACTAGAGGGCACTCTAACCATAACAAAGTTATAGGAACAATCCAAACACAAAGATCGTTGTAGATCGCTGAAGTGCTTTGTGTGAGTTTGTGCTCTGTTTTCATTTTACAGAAGTGCATATCTCCATAGAAATCGGTCCTTTTCTAAATCAAACCCTGATACACTCCCTGGCTGCCACGAGGTGTTCCTTCCTATTAATTCAGCTCCATGATGTCTCTGCAGAGCAGCTGCTTTTGAAAGACATCCCAAGTGTTAATACAGCTCATTGAGAAGTCTGTCAGTTATTCACTAAATATGAAAATTCCAAATTCTGACATTAACTAGACAATTCTGTTTGGAATTCGGTGAACCTGACCAAATCTGCATCAGTATGCTGGATGCATTCAGTGGCTTGTGTAAAATTTGGGATTTTCACATACAGACTCTATGCAAAGTATAGGATTCGCCATAACTACAAAGCACTGATTTAAAAAAAAAAAAAAAAAATTCAAGTCGCCACAGAATGTAAATTCATATTATCATTCATTTTTGCAAGTGAATGTAACTTTAATATTCGCTCACTGGAGCGCAAGCAACTAGCGAGCATATAGTTGGATAAGTAAATTGTTGCAAATAAAATTTTAATTAAAATATTTTCTTTGCCTTCAGGATTGGATTATATGTAGTGTATTTATTTATTTTGAAGTTAAGTTGATCATTTTGTGTATATTCTATTGTAGTGACGGCTTTGCTTTTCAAGATGGAGGAAGCCAACATGGCCAGCAGGGCAAAGGCACAGGAATTAATACAAGCTACTAATCAGGTATAAGACTTGGCAATAGGTCCAGTTTTTAATTGCTTTATAAAAATTATGTGGATTAATTATACATGCACACTTCATAAATTACATGTGTTTATTATTTAGCCTTGTGGGTAACACGACATTGTTTGTGAAAGCTGCACTTTCACCAGCACTTAGTTCTAAACACTGGTCAAGAATAACATGGTGGACATATGCATCTCTACTAATGCATAATCGATTATTTTTCTTGGTTTTATGAGATCTATCAGGACAATCCTGACCAAACGAATGTACAATACATTGTTGCCTGTTCTTTATATTTTTAAGATCCTCAATCAGAGCAAGCCAACTACCTCCATGGTTTCACAACCACCTGCTCCTCCAGTGATGTCATCCATCAGCCATTCAGCTCCACCATACCTTCTTCACAGCAGTTTGCCTCTCAGCGGCAACTCCAGCCCACCTACACCAACTGGCATGTCATCGTTAAACGCCCAAACACTTGCTGGTCCCACCTCAAGTTCATTTTTCAACACTACTTCCGTTATTGACCTGGGGAAAAGAGATGGCAGTACAAGTTCTGAGGGCAGAGGAGACACCGATAAGGCAAGTTGTGTTAGCAGATCCCAGTAAAGTAATGTTACACTGAATGCCCCATTCGCTGACGTGATCCTTTTTTGTTCAAGGGCACTAGCTTAATGCTGCCCATTGCTAATGGATATATTTTGTAATAATATTATATGTTTACATATATTAATAAAGTCCATGAAGATACTGGTCATTAACAAGGTTGAATAGTATATTTGTTGATAATCATTTCATTTAGGTATAGGATCCTTAAAGGAAAACTTAAGCATAGGCATACAAGCTTTTTACTTACCTTTTTCCAGCATCGAGGCTCCCACGGCGCTGCTTACCACTCTGCCTCCAGCTGCTTCATGGAAGAGTCATGGCTTCCACCACAGTGGTCCAATGCAATGATCCTCATAGATTCACCCAGTGTGCATGCATGGGGAGTACCGCAAGTGTATCCACACTCCCCCATAGGAAAGTATAAGCATTGAATAATTGCTTTCCCATGGCTGCTTCTGCGTCAAGAAACTCCGTGCCACTGAAGTGCTTCTAGTGGCTGTCAAGAAGCCAGCCATTACAGGTGTTTAAACTGCAATGTTTTACATTGCATGGTTAAAAGGACAAGATCCATGCGGACCACTTTATTGAGATGAAATTGCCTGGGTGACTTTGGTGGACCTTTTAGGTTTCACTGTAATACCAGTCATTGATTAATGTGTATAATTTTGAGAAGAAAAGTAGCAGAAGAGCTGACGCACTAAAATATTCAAGAAGATTGAAGGAAACCTTTTCGGTAAAGGTAAGTCATAAAATGTGAGATAACAAAGTGTGAGATAAAGGGCTAATGGGTAATATAATTTTTTCTTACTTCTTTACATAAATTTATAGAATATAGCCTTCTCATAGAATTGGTGCATTCTAGTATTATAATGTGAGTCCTCATCACTTTCATTAATATCCCAAGCTTGTTTCTTTGGGGCCATTACTGTCCGTTTGTATAATGCCTTTTTTTATTTTTATTATTTTTATTATTTTTGTTTGTTTCAACAGTACCTGAAGAAGCTTCACACTCAGGAAAGAGCTGTAGAAGAGGTCAAACTGGCCATTAAACCATATTATCAGCGAAAGGAGATCACAAAGGATGATTACAAGGATATACTGCGCAAAGCTGTACACAAGGTGAGTGCTTGGTCATATGATCTCCAATATTGTGTGAAATCCTGTATGTATATCCATAAACTCTATATTTCCAATAACCGACTGTTCATCTAATTGTGGTTTATTTTTCCTTGTTCTAGATCTGTCACAGTAAAAGTGGAGAAATAAATCCAGTGAAGGTGAACAACTTGATCAAGGCATACGTCCAGCGATACAAGTACTTCCGAAAACACGGCAAGAAAATGGAAGACGACGAGAGCAGCAGCGGTTATCGTGGGTCAAAGGACTCCGGGACAATGGAAAAGGGTTTACCTCCTTTACCCTTAATCTGAATCAGAGAGAGACTGTACTTGTTTTAAATCCATCAATCTAAAATAATTTTAATTGCTAGTTTAAAAAAAAACTAAAAAAAAAATATGGGGAGGGGTAAAGCTTTTATGCAAATATTTGTCAAACTTTAGAAATAACTATCTTTAGAAATAAAATATATGTATGTGGCTCATTACTAATGTCCCTCTCCCTCTGAGAGTGCTGTTTAAAGGTCGGCCTCCCGATGATCCGGAGAGAATCCCACATCTTTGCTAGATAGAAGTGCACAGGAATCTTTTTGCTGTGCGGTCTTTTAAATAGTTGATGGTCTCTTTGTAAATATATATTTCTGCTTCACAGATTTGCAGCTTTATTATTCATATTTACTGGATTTTAACTCTTACACATCTTTTGCCAATTATAATAATTTTATTTTATTTTTTTTGCATGATTTGTGGTTGTCACAATTTTCACACCCAAGGTAGCAGTTTCTTGTTATCTATTGCTGACTTCATATTGTTAGCTGTATTAAATTGCCATCCTGTAAGCCTGCTTTTCTGCCTTTCTTTTTATGTTTTAGGTTTTTCGCCCGGCGTTTTATCAATATCTCTTTAGTTCATGTTTTTATGTTGTATATTGAGATCACTTGGGATTCACCTTATAAAGCAGTTAACACTGTGGGAAATTACACAATGTATCTGTACATCCACAGAAAGATTATATCACAGTATGTCTATAAAAATATTTATACCATATCTCAAAAAATAAAATGGATTTTAAAAAGTAAAAAATACTATCTTGCTCCAGAAGAGCCCTATACAGAGAGCTAAACCATTAAGCCAAACTGGAACGATTCAGTGTCTAGTCAATTAAATGTTTAATGGCTGAACATTTATCAGATTGCCTTGGTTTGCGTTCCCACTTTCACCTATAGTGCCTTGTTGTATTGCGCTCCAGTCCTTGAAGTAGCAGACAAAAGCCAAAAATAACCATGTCAGAGTTATTCACTGAAGTGAATTTTTTACATTTAAGGCCAAAATCTCTGAACTGGAAGCACATCTGAATTAGAGGATTTTTCTGATTTGACTGTTTTAACTTTTAAATTTGAAAATCATTCTGAATTCTCACTTAAGTGAATAACCCTGTTTGTGTCACGAAAACACTAGCAAGATTGTAAAGAATTGCAAATTTTGGAAGGATGACCAAATTGAATCTACTGGATATTAAAAATAAAATATTACTCAATAGTCACTGAGGTTCTGTACATTTGGCCTTGATAACAGAGTCACTGTGGTTCAGAACGTTTGGCCACACTACATTTTCGTTTTGGCCCAATATGTTTGGACACGCTTCATATTCAACCTACGTTCGGCTGCGCTATATAGTCACATATGTTCGTATTTTCGGCCACACTACATAGTCATTTCGGTTTAGTACATTCAGCCTTGGTTTGGTCGTGCTACATGTTCGTTATTAATTCTGTACTTTCGGCCTACATTTGTCTTTGCTACATGTTAATTTTTTTTTTATTCCGTACATTTGGCATACGTACGGCCACCCACCGTACATACTTAGTATAGCAGGGGTAGGCAACCTACGGCACTCGAGGTGTCTTTGCATGGCACGCAAGGCTGCTAGAGCCAAAAGCACTCTGGCCTATCAGGAGTCCCAGTAAAACTTCAGATATCTGCTAATACAAAGAGGTGGTGAAGGTCCTGTCCTTGACCTGTGCCTGGTCCCCACTGGAACCCAGGGAACTGATAGATATACACAGAGATGTAGAATAACCCTCTCCTCATACAAATAATATGAATAGCACACACAACACACAATCCCCACAAACGCAACACCACTAACAATATACATACAGGCACACAACCCCACATACAGCCTCTCACATGCAATACCCCAAACAGCCCCCACAAACTACCAAACACACAATGTGACATATCCATCCACACACAATTCCACAAGCAGCCCACATTCATATGTATCATACACGATACCATAAACTACTAATGAACATATACAATATACTAGCTCATATACGCACAAATAAAACGATACATAGCAATTACAGTAAAAATAACACAAGCAGAATACGGCAGCATACACACCTCAATTTACAAAAATAGGATCGGCACGCTACGGGACATCACAATCCTATATCGGCACAGTGCTGCTAAAAGGTTGCCTACCCCTGTACTATAGATTAGTACATTCGGCTGTGCTACATTTTTGTTTAGTACAGTATGTTTGGACATACTAAATTTTAGTTTTGGTTTAGTACATTTGATCTACAGTCAGCTGCGCTACATAGTCACTTGGTTTGGTACACTGGGCCTGTGTAAGCACAGTATTTTATTATTTTTGGCTCAATACATTATTATTGCCATTTTATATAGCACCAATAAATTCCATAGCGCTTTACAATATTATAAAGGGGTGGGGGGGAGGCAATTTAACTATAAATAGGACAATTACAAAAAACTTACAGGAACGATAGGTTGAAGAGGACACTGCTCAAGCGAACTTAGTCATTAGGCCTATGTTCGGTCACACAACATATATACTTTGATTCAGTACATTAAGCCTACGTTCCATCGCACTACACTTTCACTTGGGGTCCGAATATTTGAACTACAGTTAGCTACGCTACATATTCACTTTGGTTCAGCATACGTTTGGCCGCGCTAGATTTTCAATTTGGCCAGTACGTTCGGGCAAGCATTCGTTACTTTATTTAAACCTCGTTCAGCCACGCTACCAGTCATTAGGCATTTACATATGGTTTCTGATATAAGTTGGTCGCCCGGTAGTTTTAGCCATTTTTACTGCACTGCATTCCTAAGTATAATGTGCTCTATATGTGTTTTTATATAAAGACACGAAGTTCCCAGATATTAACCATTACAATATTGATAGCTCCAACACTGCAACTTCTATATTTCTCAGCCTTATATCTTTGGTTTATTTTTTTACTTCATAGTTGAGCGAATCTCACTTTTATATGTGTAGCAGGTGGTTGGTATCGAGTTCACAATTAATATTTTAAGTAGCTTTCAGACACCACTACTAAAGCAGACATTTGTAACTATTAATAACTGGATAAGTTACATCTCAAGTTCCTTAACGCCTATTCTTTAGGACTGCAGTTTAAGCTTCTACTGTATACGGTCAGCCTTTAAAGTGAATGATACTCGTGCATACAGCACATTTGATCAGATCCTTCATTTTGGTATTATTTGCATGATTTTGCGTTTTGTGGCTGTGAACCTCTGTGCATTATTGCTCACTATTGGGAGGTTTTACTACTGTAGAGCTTTCCTGGACAGACAGTCACACTGCAGGTTTCTGGGAGATAGTAACTCTTAAACTTCTTACTGTCCAACTGACCAGGCCCCTGTTCATCAATACTCATGGGATGGTCCTAAGTGCTTGGGCCACACGATGGGCAAATTGCTGCTGTAGTATAGGATGCTGGGAGGAAGTGACAGCCCCAAACATAGAGAGCTTTGTGCTGGAGGGAAAGAGGCGTCAGCAGGGAGTGAGCTGCTGCGGACCTTGCACACCAGCACTAAAGGAAGTCACCCTCCTGCAGAAAAAAAGGTAAGCTAATGGGAGGGTACCTGCAACTATAAACATTATGACCTGTGTATCAGTGTGTATGTTCCAAGGTGGGGCAGTGTGTGTACATGTGTGCTAAGGTTTGTGTATATGTGCCATTGTGTGTATCTGCGTGCCAATGTTTGTGTCGGTGTGTATGTATGGCCGTGCATGTGCAGACATTCCAGCAATCAAAAACGTATAATACACACACTAAAAGAGGTGGGTGGGGGGGAGTGAATACTGGCTGCAGGGATGTCCAGAAAGTGACGGCCAATCCCTAAAGAGATTCAATAGAAGAAAATAAATATCCAGGCACACCTAAATTTTCTTCTACAAAGTGGAGACACTGCTTTCAAATAAAAAAAATGTCTTTTAGAAGAAACCTCAAGTGTGCCTAGATATTTATTTTATCCCAGCAATCCAACACAACATGCAAATACAAACATGGCATACAAAGACACCTCTGAACTCAAACTTTAAAATTATGTGCAAACACTACACACTACACAAACCTGCTCCTAAGTACTACAAAATGTTTACTATCTGTAGAAATCAGTACATATATAGCAACGAAAAATTGGCACCAAAAAAATTAAAAAATGTTATTCTCTGATAATTAAAAGGCTTGTGTTTCGGCGCCAAATTTTTTTTTGCGAGGGATGTTGATGCACTATGTCAAAGTTAAAATTAATTGGGAACCCCTGCACTAGAACATTTTCATTGTTCTGGGCTCATTTTACTTACTTTACCTACCTTACTACAGGGAGTGCAGAATTATTAGGCAAATGAGTATTTTGACCACATCATCCTCTTTATGCATGTTGTCTTACTCCAAGCTGTATAGGCTCGAAAGCCTACTACCAATTAAGCATATTAGGTGATGTGCATCTCTGTAATGAGAAGGGGTGTGGTCTAATGACATCAACACCCTATATCAGGTGTGCATAATTATTAGGCAACTTCCTTTCCTTTGGCAAAATGGGTCAAAAGAAGGACTTGACAGGCTCAGAAAAGTCAAAAATAGTGAGATATCTTGCAGAGGGATGCAGCACTCTTAAAATTGCAAAGCTTCTGAAGCGTGATCATCGAACAATCAAGCGTTTCATTCAAAATAGTCAACAGGGTCGCAAGAAGCGTGTGGAAAAACCAAGGCGCAAAATAACTGCCCATGAACTGAGAAAAGTCAAGCGTGCAGCTGCCACGATGCCACTTGCCACCAGTTTGGCCATATTTCAGAGCTGCAACATCACTGGAGTGCCCAAAAGCACAAGGTGTGCAATACTCAGAGACATGGCCAAGGTAAGAAAGGCTGAAAGACGACCACCACTGAACAAGACACACAAGCTGAAACGTCAAGACTGGGCCAAGAAATATCTCAAGACTGATTTTTCTAAGGTTTTATGGACTGATGAAATGAGAGTGAGTCTTGATGGGCCAGATGGATGGGCCCGTGGCTGGATTGGTAAAGGGCAGAGAGCTCCAGTCCGACTCAGACGCCAGCAAGGTGGAGGTGGAGTACTGGTTTGGGCTGGTATCATCAAAGATGAGCTTGTGGGGCCTTTTCGGGTTGAGGATGGAGTCAAGCTCAACTCCCAGTCCTACTGCCAGTTCCTGGAAGACACCTTCTTCAAGCAGTGGTACAGGAAGAAGTCTGCATCCTTCAAGAAAAACATGCTTTTCATGCAGGACAATGCTCCATCACACGCGTCCAAGTACTCCACAGCGTGGCTGGCAAGAAAGGGTATAAAAGAAGAAAATCTAATGACATGGCCTCCTTGTTCACCTGATCTGTACCCCATTAAAGTGATGTGGCGAACCGAATTTTCGGTTACATGACGGCACCTCATAAAATGTTAGAACATTGTGAACCGCCAGCGTAAATGACTTCAATGGACAGGTGGATTTTAAAACACACAGGGACTCTTTCTTGCCACAATAGGGATGGAAAAGTTGTTTCAAGGGGACTAACACCTGGACTGTGGCATGCCGGAGGGGGATCCATGGCAAAACTCCCATGGAAAATTACACAATTGATGCAGAGTCTGGTCTTAATCCATAAAGGGCAGAAATCACCTAACATTCCTAAATCACAATGGATATGGATTGACACCTGACATATGACATATTGACATAATAGTTGACACCTGTCCTCAGAGACCATGATACACACTGACACAGAGCAGAATAGGGACTGTTCCCCCTACATCGGGTCACTTGGCAGATATGGATTGACACCTTGTTACAAATTGCTATTTGTAACGGGCCCTTTAAATGGCAAATTGCCCTGCTTCCCTGGGTTGTGGAGAAGCCTATTTGCCAGCCTCCTCCCGCATGACTATGGCCCCTGGAAGAGTGTGAAAATGTATGCACTTTTATTTGGTGTGTATGGCCCTTTAAGACTGTCGGTGGGCATATTAGGGCTTATGGACTCTTTATGTGACTGGTGCTGGCCCTTTAAACACCTTTTTTGGGACATCAGGAAGATTGGGACACTGCCCCTTTAAGGCCGTGTCCCCAGACTGTTGGGGACACGGCCCCTTTAAGACGGTGTCCCCTGTGTCCCCAGACCTGGTGCAAACCCTTTGTGCCTGCCTTGCTATTTCCCACTTGGTTCAGTAAATGGAAATTATTTCAGCTGCAGAGACTAAGTCCCATTCGGCGATGGGACTTAGTCTTTTTTTCAGCCTATTTCAGCTGCAGAGACTAAGTCCCATTCGGCGATGGGACTTAGTCTTTTCAGCCTTATTTCGGCGCGAGACTAAGTCCCATTCGGCGATGGGACTGTCTTTTCAACGTTTTTCAGCCTTATTTCAGCTGCAGAGACTAAGTCCCATTCAGCGATAGGACAGTCTTTTCAACCGTTTTCAACCTTATTTCAGCTGCAGAGACCTGAGTCCATTCGCGATGGGACAGTCTTTCAGCCTGAAATAGACCGACCTCACAGCCCAAATCTATGGAACTGTTTTGGGCAGGAAAATGTGCTTGCGGTCGGTCATAAAGGGACCTCAGCTAACTTTTTAACCCCTGGATGGATTTGGCTGATTTTTGGTTATGTTTATGTTTTAAGTGTGCTGATTCCAAATATGTAATTATGAAGATGGGATGTGTGGTTTTAAAGTTACAGTGTATGGCTAAAAACTGTATTTTTACTGCCTGTGTTTAATTATGTTAATCTCTTCCCAAACGTCATTTCGTTCAAAGTGGAGAGAATGTTAAAAATATATTTTTGTTCGGAGTGTGAGAAATGCTTTTCAGCCGCTTCTAATCTTAAGCATCATTTGAGGAGCCATACAGGAGAGAAACCTTATTAGTGGTGTGTTTAGTATTGTTCTGATCAGTTTAATACCTTCCGCGTCTCCTATCAGTGGACGTGTATATGGCAGCCATTTAGGAACCGTACACCTGGGACCCGAGCAAGGTCACCTCGTTCAACAGGCGACAACATTTGTCCATGGAAAACTATCCTGGACATTCTGTACAATTTGTATTGATATGGCAGTGATTTCTGTAACAGGGAGATGGAAGAAGAGGCTTGGTCGGTCCTCTTACTGCAAATTTGGGGCACTGCGCGGTCA